GCTCGATAGCGCTTGAGTACAGAGAAAAAAACTACACGGTGGAAAGTGGAAAGGTGAGAAAATGGATAGGAAACGCAGTGAAATTTGGACTGATTTCAACTTAATTGATAGTTCAAAGGCAGCGTGTAGACTGTGCAAGGTTAAAATGTCCAATATCAAATATTAATTTATCATTTGTTGTTTGGTAATCAAAGCTTACTTATGTTGTTTTACTGTAAATATTTAAACACTTATAAATATGCACAATCAGAGATTGGAACTTTTTGTTGACCTTTTTTTGAGATGGGTCTTTGTTTTTGTACTTTGTAATTTATTTTTTTGTAGCACTCCATGTTGTACGCCATGTTGAGTATGTTCAGAAGAATATAAATAAAGCCATATAAATAATAAATATTTGATATACTGTATATTTTTTACATTCGTAATTCATTTTACACATAATTTTACATTATTTTTGGTATTAAACTAATTTAAGCAACAAAAAAACTGAGGAGCCATTTGGGAGCCGAAAGAGCCGGCTCTTTTTAGTGAGCCGAGCCAAAAGAACCGGCTCTCTAAAAAGAGCCGGAATTCCCATCACTATACTGTATTAACTTAGTTGTTGTCTCGGCTAGGCTATCTTAGCTGTTGTCGTAGATCAAAGGGCTTTGATGTGTAACGTCCGTTGAGTCAGCGCTGATTGGTTGAAACCAAAAAATGCGCCCGTGCGTACCATGTCCACGCTGACGCACGCACAGCATTGCTGAGTCACGCTTCGCTCGAGTGGCGTCGCTACAATGTAAACACGCTATGTTTGATGATGTAACGGAAGGTATAATGTTAAATGAATTGAATTCCATGACAATTGGCTCGACAAATGGCTTAATAATTGACATGGATATTTGTAATTCTAAAAATGCAAATTCAGTCTCCACCAGAGAGGGAAAAAAAGGTTTGTAAGGATCTTGAATCCCAAGCTTGGGATTCAAGATCCTTCCAAGCCTTTTTTTCCAGTTTGTGGACGAACGGTCTGGGTGCATGACTTCCATTCAGCTCCAACCCCATCCGGGGTGCCAAATTGTCTTGTCCAGAGAAACCAAGAAAACTAAAGTCTATCTAAAAATATTATGATATTTATTTCAGGTACAAAAAAATATGGAGAAGCATCATTCGTAGATCTGTCATGGAGCCTCTCTCTCGAGGAGTCGGGCCCCTTTTTATTTCATTTGTCATTTCTTGAGGGGTTGAAGTCAGGCCATGGACACTTTGGGCAGCTACACTTTTTAGATAACAGAATGAAGTCCAGCACATAAGCAAGCAACTTTGCTTATCTGCAAATAACATGGTCAGCATTCACAATGCAACAAACAGTTACTTATAAGATACATTTTAGCGTTGTTAGATGTCAAATTCCCATTACAAATACACCAGACTTCATTGATTTATGCCCTTCCCTTTTGAATTAGGTTTAACCACCTAATTTAGACCAGGGGTGTCCAAACTTGGTCCTCAAGGGCCACTGTCATGCCTGTTTTCCATCCCTCTGGCTGCAACACAACTGATGCAAATAATCAGGATCAGTCTAATGCTGCTTCAGAGCTGGCTGATGAGCTGATTATTTGAATCAGGTGTGTTGCAGCCAGGAGAGATGGAAAACGAGAAGGATAGTGGCCCTCCAGGCCCGGAGCTGGACATGCCTGATTTAGACTTTTACAAAATAAGTGGAATTAGCCAGTGCATTAGAATTCATCCATTTTCCAATCCTCTTTATCCTCACTAGGGTCGCGGGGGTTGCTGGAGCCTGTCTTCGGACAGTAGGCGGGGGACACCTGAACCGGTTGCCAGCCTATAAAAGTGAGTGCCCCGAAAATTCGGGGCTCTTTTGGTTCGAGATGTCAGACTATCTTCTTAAATCGAACCACAAGGTAAGCTGCTGATAACTTTTCATTTCTTTTCTTGCTCTCTGTGTGAGACTCATATATATTCAAAAGAACACACACACACACACACACACACACACACACACACACACACACACTTTTCAGTTGTATCACATCACTCTTTTGAATTTATAATCCACCAATGTCTCCACTGCACCAAAGCAATAGGAAGGCAAGGGAGAGAAGAGCTGTCCCCAAAAGATCACCCAGAGCTGTGAGATAGGGTATAGAGTAGCTGTCTGGGTCTTTACCCTTCCTCCACAAACAGTGGACCATACAGTCAGCTATACACAGCAAGGAAAATACCTGTGAAACAGACACATTGAGGAAATGCATGAAAAAGGGGACAATGTGTGCAAACAAAGCAGGAGCACGCATCCCACTCACCTGAATCAAGGAAGCAGTCAAGAATGTGACAGTGAAGAGCGCACTGGGCATGGTGTGGGCCCCTTTTATCAGGTGAATAATGTATAAGAAAATCAGTTGGCCAGGGATGACAATGAGAAGTAGCACCTTTGCAGATTTGTGATTCGGTCCTGCATCAAAGTCAATCATGATACACGTTATCATTTATCATGAACTTCCCCTACCCCCGAATTTTTGAACTATTTGACACTTTACCTGAACCAAAGAAGGTGCTGCAGGGTTGGTGGCACCTTTTATGATCTTCAGGAACCTCTCCACGTGAGAAATTCAAATGCAAATTTGTGGAAATGCGGCTTGCTTGTATGGAGACAAGGTTTCCTCCAATGCCTGGTAAAAAATATGGGAAACAAGTAAAAGGGTTACCAGCACAAACCTTTGTCATCGAATAAAGAGAGGCTGCTAAGGTGGAAGAGGGGATTCAATCTCTTATGATAAATGTAATTATCAGGTCTGAATACTTCAGTTTCAGGCATTTTTTTTTGCATAAGAAATCTATAAACACAAAGAGCTGAAGTACCGTGCACTATATTCAGTGTGTACTCTAATTGATTGTGCGCTGTTAGTGGGAACGTTCGTGGGAACGTTGTGCGTGATCCACCAAGATTGCAGTTCAAATTGAAACAGGTGTAAAAGCAAAAAAAAAAAAAAGACCGCCCTATTTACATTAAATGAGGGTTTGCTCTCTAGTTAGCTCTGATGGCGTTTGTCATCGCAAATTTATGGGAGCACTTCAAGCACAAAATTAGTTTGCAGTGATGGAATTTTTCCAACAGTGGAATCGTACCCTTCATGTGGAACAGCGTCATTACTCCATTTAAATTAACAGCCATCAATCAATCAATGTATTTCGACAGAAGGGGCCCCGAGACTGGAAGTGACTTCATCAAGATCAAAGTGGACAGGTGTGGAGAGTGGAAGTGACAACATCCTCTATTTTGATTGACGGCTATAAATCACATCATTATGACAGTAGTTCGGCCCCAAAGTGGCATCATTTGACAATAAAGTTGTATCCAATAGATCCTTATTTATGTATTACTTTGGATTGACAGCTGTCAATCAAACTATTTGTCTATTAATCAATCTCTTTATCGGCTGGTCAAACAAAGTGATATCCTCACTTGCTACTCACCATTAATAACCGGGGTATAAAGTATGATCCCAGCCAAGTTTGGATCTGACACCGTTTTATCCAGAATAACGCCACCCATACTAAAAAAGACATAAAAACCAGAGAACCAGGTTTCAGATAACGGATAGTAAATACTTATAAATATGTGTGTGTGTGTGTGTGTGTGTGTGTACTGTATATACTCCATATGCAACAGTGTTCATGCAAGTTGAATAAAAAACAATGCAACTACCTGCTGATCGCCATTGCTGTTATGATTGGTTCCCACCCAGTACGGAGGAGGATCCAACTAGCAGGGTGTTTGGAGGAGATCACAATCCACAGAGGTATCAGGCACAGCAAAAACAGATCCAAGAGGTACAACACGTACAAATACATCTCTGTCAAGACAAAGTGTTGTAATTTAGGGTTTTCTCCACAGTTGACCTGTAAGCTTAGTCAAGTGCTCTCATGAGCCTTGCTTTTTTTTGTTGTTTTTGTGTTTGTTGTTGCGTCGTGTGGACCGGATGTGGACTGTTTTTCAGCATTTTT